TCCAAGGACTGCAACTTCCCCCCCTCAGTGATCGAGAACGCCCTCTACCGTGTCTCCTGCATTTCCTGCAACTCATCCCTCGCACCCTGTCCCCACAATAACAACCAAAACAGAATCCCCCTCATCCTCACGTACCACCCCACCAACCTCCGGATCCAACGCATCATCCTCCAACACTTCCGCCATCTGCAATCTGACCCCACCACCAAAGACATCTTTCCCTCCCCACCCTTATCTGCTTTCCGGAGGGACCACTCTCTCCGTGACTCCCTCGTCCGCTCCACACTCCCCTCCAGCCCCACCACTCCAGGCACTTTTCCCTGCAACCACAGGAAGTGCTACACCTGCCCCCACACCTCCTCCCTCACCCCCATCCCAGGCCCCAAGAAGACTTTCCACATCAAGCAGATGTTCACCTGCACATCTGCCAATGTGGTATACTGCATCCGCTGTATCCGGTGTGGTTTCCTCTACATCGGGGAAACCAAGTGGAGGCTTGGGGACCGCTTTGCAGAACACCTACGCTCGGTTCGCAATAAACAACTGCACCTCCCAGTCACGAACCATTTCAACTCCCCCTCCCATTCCTCAGACGACATGTCCATCCTGGGCCTCCTGCAGTGCCACAACGATGCCACCCGAAGGTTGCAGGAACAGCAACTCATATTCCGCTTTGATACCACTGGGCTGCAGGGTTCCCATGTGGACTTCACAAGCTTCAAAATCTCCCCTCCCCCTACCACATCCCAAAACCAGCCCAGCTCATCCCTGCCTCCCTAACCTGTCCTTTCTCCCACGTATCCCCTCCTCCCACCTCAAGCCGCACCTCCATCTCCTACCTACTCACCTCATCCCACCCCCTTGACCTGTCCGTCCTCCCTGGACTGACCTATCTCCTCCCTAACTCCCCACCTACACTCACCTTTACTGGCTCCATCCCCGCCTCTTTGACCTGTCTGTCTCCTCTCCACCTACCTTCTCCTTTATCCATCTTCTATCCGCCTCCCCCTCTCTCCCTATTTATTTCAGAACCCCCTTCCCCTCCCCCATTTTTGAAGAAGGGTCTAGGCCCGAAACGTCAGCTTTCCTGCTCCTCTAATGCTGCTTGGCCTGCTGTGTTCATCCAGCTCTACACCTTGTTATCTCAGATTCTCCAGCATCTGCAGTTCCTACTATCTCTGATATAAAAATATAACCTGGTTTTGGATTTTTGAAAACACGAATAATCTTGGAGTGTTTGGAATAAGAGAAGAAAGCGCTCCCCGACGTAACGATGACATGTAAATAATAAACAGGTCAACGAGAATGGGGTGGGGGGAATAAACAAAAACTTGTGAGATATGGTTATCCCAAGCATGAAGGGAGTCATTTAGGAAAGTCTGAACGTGGAAAGAACGGAAGGGTTTTGCCTCACTCAGTCTATAAAAAAAAGGACACTAATCCATATCCGCCATTGTTGTTGTTCACTCGATACGTCCTTCAACAGGGAGGGTCCACACTATTCACCAATACACCGACACCCTCCCCCGTTACTCAGCTTTTGGCGCTTTCACAACCTCGGGGGTTGAGGGCGGGACGGAGAATTCAATTTTAATTGACACCCATCTTGACCAATCGAACCTCGGAGTTCCACCCGCCCCTTCCCATTTGGCCCAATCGTTTTGGGAACCGTTGGGCACGACGACCCGCCCAGCCACAGAGTGACAGCAAAATTAACCAATAACGTATCGCCATCCGCCGAACTCCCCAGCATCTGGTCTGCCCCTTCATCCCTTTGGATCTTGATCGACTGGGGGATGCGAACACCGCTCCCTCCGGATCCAATCATTTCCCGCTATGTGGATGATCGACGTGGCATTGCGACCAATGACCATCCGGGACGTTCGGCCCCGGATGGGGGATGGGACACATGCCAACCAATGGGCGAACAGGTCTGCGCGGCGAGACCAATGGGAGAGGGGGCAGGGGGCGGGAGTTGTATGGGTTGTGCTGAGTGTGTAATGGAGGCTGAGTAACCGTGGGGGAGATAAAGGCCGTTTGTCCTTGGCTGAGCCCGTCTCTGTCTGTCTGTTTGTGTGTGAGTGAGCGAACCAGCAGGAGGGAAGGCTGCTTATTTATTTATTTTTTTTTCGGAAGATTTTCGTCTTGTTCAAAAATAAGAAAAAAAAGCAAAGCTAGGAAAATGGAGATGAAGAAAAGGATCAAACTGGAGCTGAGAAACAGGAGCCCAGGCGAGGTAAAGGGTTTGTTGCACATTAATGGAGTGAGGGAGTTTTAACAGCAGCACATGTCACTTGTGTTTGTGATCTCTTCCCCTTCCAGAAGAAAAGTCCAGGTTATTCACTTGATTTCCTTCAGGGCTGCAGTAATTTCACTTAAACTCACCGAATCTTTCCCACTGCATTCCCTCGAAATAGATATATTTGTTGAGTTCTAACTTGCAGTGTCCATGTTAATTTATTTTGATTTGAAATTTTATTTTCTGCTAGACTCTGGATAGTTGAGGTCAGGGAGGCTTTGGATTTTTTTTTGGTGTGGTGTGTATGTGTGCTCGAGACTTTTTTAAAATAAAAAAAACAAAAACAAGTCATAAAACCCAATTTGTGTGTTGGGGTAGAGAGTGGACTCTCAATCCCCCTCCCCGTTTTATTCCTCCTACCGTATCATTTCGTAGTAACCTCAAGTTTTGAAGCAGGGTCACTGGATCCGTAATGTTGACTCTGCTTTTTCTCCATGGATGCTGCCAGACCTATTGAATTTTTTTCCAGCAATTTCGTTTGTGTTTCTGATTTCCAGCATCCACAGTTCTTCAGGTTTTTTTTTGTTTTAGTAGATGGTCAGAGTTCTTACTTTTGAAGACCATCTGGTGCTTTTGTTGGACAAGGTGAGAGAATTGGTTTTGGCCATGACGCCTTTCCTGTTCGAATGGCTCATTGACTCAAATGAGTAGGGACTTGGTGACTATTCCTGTGGAACGTTAGGTGAGCAGTAGCCGGGAGCATTGGGTGGAGGGGAAGAGAGCATTCTATTCGACCGTTGCAAAAACGGAAACTGCGGGTGAAACTCAGCAGGTCTTTGGGGAGAAAGCTGAGTCCAAGTTTGGTGATGGTTGTGTTCTCTTGCAACTGAGGGTTAAAGTGGGGTCCCAAAGCAACTGGGTGATGAATCAGTAAGTGTTATTCACCTATTTGGTGAATGCAACTTTATTAAAACTGTTTCGTTACCCTGTTTATGTTACAACTTGTGGCACTAGCTCCCTATCCATCCCATAATGTCCCCAGGCACTTTGTGAGTGACTTTGGCAGTGTGTTGAGGACTGTGTACATTACACTGTACATCGATCATGGCTTTCTGCACATGAGCGCAAACCATCACAAAACACGAAATCAGATAGGAATGTGGTAGAAAGCAAAATTACCTGTGCAACTAATGTGAGAGTGCAAAATTTACTGAATTGTTTGTTGCCTGTTCTTATTTTTCCTCACTCTGCACTTGCTCTTTGGTCTTTAATCTTGCCTTCATCTTCCTTATACAAGTAGAAGCTGTAATGAGTGGTAATGAATCTTGTAGATTGTGGGGACTGTTACAGCAGAACTTGATTTTATCCTTGTTTTTGTACCAGTTTACAAGACTTTAGTAATGAGGGAGAACCATTACATCTTTTCCCTTCTGTCTGTAGGCAGTTGTTTTAGATCCATGAGTTTCTAAACCCTGGAGTGAGGTTAAATGTTGTTTTGTCAGTCTTTATGGTTTAATAGTGCACTGTACAGTTCATATATTCTTGGTGAGTTGTCACAGGGCAGTTTCCACAATAGTGTGTAGTCATGTTGCTATAATATTCTCCCTGTTTCTTAGATCTGAATTACTCCATTAATCTGAAATAAAAGCTAGACTCATTCATGGTGCCCATTACCACTACAGTATCATCAAGTTTTGTTTTGAAAACCTTTCTAGTTCACTAATGTCCTCTGTAGGAAAGGAAATCTGCCATTGTTACCTGGTCTGGCCTACATCTGACTCCAGATCCATTGCCTCTGTAGCAGGAGGTTTAGAGGGATGTGAGGAACAGCTCGCTTTCACCCAGTGGGTGGTGGGAAAATGGAACTAGCTACCTGTAAGGATGATAAAGACAGAAACCCTAACACTTAAAGGTACTGCATGTAGTTAGGCACTTGCAGTGCCAAGGTATGTGAGGCTGTGGACCAAATGCTAGAAAATGGGGTTAGAATAGTTAGATGATTGAATTTGTGGCAGTCAAAAACACTGGTCCAAAAGACCAGCCTTCTGTGCTAGTAAATCTCTGATTCTGGTTGACTGTTAACTGCCCTCTGAAATGACCTTACAAGCCAAGTTCAAGGTAATTAGGGATTTGCACAAATGCTGACCTTTCCAGCAACAACCCTATCCTGAGAAAAAACTTGTCAATCCCTTTATCCTGAGATGAAACAGGATACTTGGGTAAAAATCCAACACCGTCTAGATGGTGTTGTTACTGCTGCCTTGACTGTTAACGCCACACTAGCAAGTGAGGCAAAGGCCTTTCTGGCCTGAGTTTCTCCTGCTCACTGGGACGTTGGTGTGCAGTGTCATCTAGGTATTGTAGATAGTCTGAGGATGCTACTGCTACTTCATCTGGTTTGGCAATGAATTGGGAGAGAGCTCAGCCCTGGTCTGTTGTTAACTAACACTGATATTATGCCAGCTGAGGTTGGCCCAGGTTTAAGGGAAACATGGTTAGTTGGGATGCTGCTACTGATTTTACTGAGCTGAGTTTTGGGGCTTGGCTGTGGTGGTACCGACAGTGGAACAGTTTGGTGACACTTGCTGTTTAGGCCTACCTAGGAAGCATGGTCAGTTGTGTGCAGTACTAGGGGCAGGTGCTACACATGGTGTTTTATCCGATCATTACAACCCCTTCAAGTGGACAAACACTCTTAACTGGTTTGATAGTGGCTTAACATTGGGCTGATCTGTTTATATCTGGACTTAATGTTTTTCAGATATGAAAGCTTTCAGAATGTGAATCATGAAAACCTTTTGCCATCTCACAATCAGAGAATCCCTACTGTGCAGAAAGAGGCTGTTAGCCCATTAAGTCTGCACTGACCCTCTGTAGCACATCCCACCCATACTCACCCTATCCTGCCACCCTGCCTTTACCATGGCTAGTCTGCCTAGCCTACATGTCCCTGGACATCATGGAGCAATTTAGCATGGCCCGTCCACCTAACCTACAGATCTTTTGGACTGTAGGCGGAAACCGGAGCGCCTGGAGAAAACTCCTACTGACACAGGGAGAATGTGCGCGTTCCAGACAGTCGCCCGAGGCTGGATTCGAAACCTGGTCGCGTGCACTAAGGCAGCAGTGCTAACAACTGACCCTGCTGTAGTGATGCCCTTCATGACTGAATAGCTGATCCTGTCTCTTTGCTGATGCTTGTGTTGTCATGACAACGAATGGCTAAAGAGTGGGGAATTTGCTGGCAAACCACTAATGTTCTGTGTGAAGAAAAGACAAACGCTGGCTCCACAGTCAGGTAGCAGGCTGTGCCTGGAGACTGAGAGGACTAGGGATAAGAGCTGGGGCCTTGTATTAAGACCCATTTTGATCCACCAAGGGAATTGAGCGTTATGGGGGACAATCAGAAAAGTGGAGTTAAAGCCACAATTAAACGAGTTATGATCTTCTTGAATGGCACAGCAGGCTCCAAGAGCCAAAAGGCTCATTCCTCCTGTTTCTTGTGTTCATTGTACAGGCTTTGTGACTGACCCTGCAGCCAAAGACGATCACATTTAATGGACAGGAATTGTTGACCCAGTGCATGGATATGCATAGTTACTAGAAATTGCCTACAATCTGATCTGTTGGAACAGAGATTCATCATCTTCTGCTCTACTTGAAGATGGAACTGTATCCTGTCGAACCCCAAGGTCTGATTAAGGAAACTGAACCCCTCTCTAGTTTGAGTTTACTTGTTTGGTATATGGGGAAGTCTGCACATTTTAAAATGTTGAATCGTTCTGAGAAGAGAAACAAGTATCAAAGTTTCTTATCTTTTTTATTCATGATGAACCAGGAATGCCAAATCTGAAACAACCACAATAACTTTATACTACAGGAAAAAAGGTAAGTTGACTGTAGCTGAAGCACTTCCATGAAAAAATAGGGAATTATTGGCTTGTGCTCAGGGAACAGTCAAAAAAGCTTGAACGTAATCTTTTTAGTTTGCGGCAAATAGAACCCTGCATACTTGTATGTTTCTTCTAGTAACTACAAATGACCATGTTTTCAGCTCAACAGATTATCTCAAACTGGTTGTTTACTGTACCTATTACTACATTCACGTGATTGGACACCACTTGCTGAACAATCCTAGAATTGCATCTACCAGTGAACCTATCAACCAATCAGCATTCTTTTCTCCAGTACTATTTATTGTTATTGTTTCTGATTTGGAATTTTTGAGTTTGTTCAGAGTGCAAAAGGAAAAGATTTAATGTCTCTGTTCAGCAATATTCATATTAAAAATGTTCTGACATCAACTACACTTCACTCAATTTTGAAGGGAGCAGCTTGTTTCTGGTTTTAACACTTTTTTTTTCTATGTAAGCACACATGTAGTCTCTCTGTGATGGGCTGGATCTGTGCACTGATTCTTGCTGTTCAGTTTAGGGCTGTGAACTGTGCTTTCTCTATTGGTTGGCTGGTACTTTGAAAGGAGGAGACCGTGCCTAATTTCCTGCAGTTCATTCGTTATCCTGAACCACGCCCCCACCCCCAATCATTGTAAAGAATGTTAAGCATCAGTTGTGACAGTGTGCAAAAGGCCACTGTACTGTCAGAGTTTTTTTGGTTCCTGCATACTAATGGGAAATTTTCAAACGTGAATGCTTACCTTGACCGGTCCTGTGGACATGGCCTGGGGAGGTAAGTGCCTGGGTACTGGGATTTGAGGTAGTGTAGCTGTATCAATGTCAAGTCATTTTTGTCCCATAATGCTCGTGAGCATTTCGCTTCAAGTTCAGCAAAGCACAGTAGTCTGGTTGTGGTTATAACTTTCTTTATTTACTACTTCTAATAAATTGCATCCTGAGGCCTACAGTATACACAAGGCTATAAATCAAGAACAAAAACAAAGTTGCTCGAAAAGCTCAGCAGGTCTGGCAGTATCTGTGAAGGAAAAAAAGTTAGTTTCCTGTCTGGTGACCCTTTAACTTTGTTTTTGTTCTTGATTTATAGCATCCACAGTTCTCTTGGTTTTTATTTGCTATAATTTATAACCTATTTTTCTTTCACCGACAGTAAACCTTTTTCTTAAACTGGGTCACCAAAGTGATGGATTTGTTAAATGATTTTGAAATTGTTGTATTATAGTATGGGGACGTCAGATAACCAGGGATAATAGAAGAATTTGAGTTCATGTTCAAATTGAGGGGATGCGCATGAAATGACAAGTATTGAACACATGCTAGTGACTGTACAGATGTTAGACCTTGTGTAGATTTAACTTTGAAGGAGCATGTTTCTACTTATTCTTTAAAAATTGAATTAGGTTAGACAACGCTGGTGGGACATTAACAAAATATCATGCGCTCAACAGAAAGTTACCAAGATTGCATCCAATCAAAATATCATTATTCACCCCAGCCCCAATGGTGTGCACCAGTCCTAAAGGCAGGAGACGTTTTTGTTTTTGTTTTTATTTCTGTCTTTCTGTTATTAAGGATATTGGGCCTTAGCTAGTCAGTTTATCGGGGGGCATTGATCCAGGTGTGCATAATACTAAACGAACCTGCACAATTTCATCGCCCCCCCCCCACCCCCTTTTCTTTTATTTGGACCTTTTTCTGAATATGGACTACTTTTTTCAGTGAAAAATCTAAAAGTGCAATACTGCCATGGTTAGGAATTGTGGATGTAGTGAAGATTAAAACCCACGCAGTAATTGTGTTATATCAAGTTGGGTTGTAAGACCCCCTGATTGCAAGAGGAGGAGGAAAGTGAAGTTGGTTGAAAGTTTCACCAGGTTTGAAGTCTGGTGAAGACAGGTTGTTAAATGTGTTGGTGGCTGATCTTGCTACTAGAGGAAGCAATTGGAGAAATCTGAGTAGGATGAAACAAAGGTTGCGACAGTGGTGGGAGTTGGAAGCTTCTCCTGCCCCAATGGTGCTCATCTATGGCTAGGTAGCTAGATACAGCTCTCAGCATGACTTGTTCTCAAAAATTCTCTGGCTCTGATGACAGGTTCTGTAGGTTTGCAGGACCTGAAACCTGCACTTTGTACACTGTACACTGTACCCGGATGTGTAGTGGGATCCCTTGCAGGTCAATGTGATTCGCTTGCATTTACCATGTCCAATTGTCTACATCCTCTAGGCTGGTGGATCAATGTGGAGTACAGCCTTCCAGTTCAAGGAGATTGTATTTCCAATTTTCTGTCATGCTCTGTTGGCAAAAGCTCAGGGTACCTGCTAGCACTATATCCGCTGGCTATCCTATTGTATGTACCATCACATCCTTTAGCTAATAACAATTACACTACAGCGTCTATGCAGCAGGAATAGCAATCGGGAATGAGACTATATACATTTGGGTCATCTACTGAGAGTTAGTAGGGCCAGAGACATATTTCATTATGCAAACTAAAATGAGCTGCTGATTCTATGATCTATGAGAGGTCCATGGTACTCCACTTTAAAGAAAAAGGGTGGCATGGTGGCTCAGTGGTTAGCACTGCTGCCTCGCAGCACCAGGGACCTGGGTTCGATTCCACCCTAGGGCAACTGCCTGTGTGGAGTTTGCACATTCTCCCCGTGTCTGCATGGGTTTCCTCCAGTTTCCAGTTTCCGGTTTCCTCCCACAGTCCAAAGATGTGCAGGCTAGGTGGATTGGTCATATTAAATTGTCCATAGTGTTCAGGGATAGGTTTGGGTGGGATGCTCTGACGGTCAGTGTGGACTTGTTGGCCAAACAGCCTGTTTCCACACTGTAGGGATTCTATGATTCTAAATGTTTCTTTTCCCACTTCAGGTTGCAGAGCTAGTAATCGACAACTGTCGCAGCAACGAAGGGGAGATTGATGGCTTTGATGATGGATTCAAGGAGCTGGAATATCTCAGTATGATCAATGTGGGACTGAAGTCTCTGGCCAAACTCCCAAACCTGCATAAACTCTTGAAGGTGAGATTTTGCAGCAGCATGCGTTAAATTGTTTGAATGGGGTGTAAAAATTTGTACTAATTAATTTGTTTCTAAAGTCAGGCGAACAGGGCTTGCTGTGGAGGTTGTTAAATATCAGACAACCCTGACTTGCCTTCATTTGTCAGTAGTGGGAGTGAAAAACATTCCAGCTGAACCTGACCCTGTCCCTGAAGGTGGAATTTCCATCAGCGTTCCAAACGCAGGCAAGTGGGATTAGTTTAGTTTGGGAAACTTGGTCGGCTTGGACAAGTTGGACTGAAGAGTCTGTTTCCATGCTATACGACTCTGACTCTGTGGAGCTCTGGCTGCACCCACTAAGACACTTGGCTCCTGGACTGCCTGATCTCCGTTTAGATCATAAGAACATCTGTAGGCCATTCAGGCCTTCCTCCACCATTCAGTAAGATCATGGCTGATTTGGTGTGGTCTCAACTCTGCTTTCCTGTTTGCACCTCATAATCCTGAACTTCCATGTCTATCAAAACTCTAACTCGGCCTTGAATAAACTTGTAAACCCCACCTCCATTACCTTTTTTGGGAAGTCTCTGGTTTCTGAGAGGGGGGAGAAAAAAACTCATCTGCCTTTAAACTACAAGCTTAGTTTATTCTTAAAGTATGTTCCCTTAGTCTCCCATAAAAGGAAACATTTTCTTTGTCCAATATATCAAATCCCCTCAATATCTTATATTGGCTCTTGTAAGATCATCTCTCATTCTTCTATTATCCCAAGTGCTACAATGGCCCTGCTTGTGCACAGGAACTACCTGCACACTGATATCACTACACTCCTGTGTACTGACAATGTCACAAGCGTGTACACAGGCATTTCATGAGTGTGTGTCCTGTTTGCACCAGGTACCTACATCTTTGAAATGGGATCTAATCCAAGAAATGGCTTACTTTTTAAAACTAATCAGCGATACTGTTTACAATCCCTAAGCTATGGATGGGCTCTCATTTTTATCGTTTATAATACAAATCAGATTTGTAACTTCTCTTTTTATGAAAGCTGGATGTGTATAAATGATCCATTGAACAGATCACCTTATATAATAAGCTAATGTGCGTGGAATAGGTAACACTGATGATATCGTTCAGCTTTAAGTGTTTGTGGATGTGGCTGGGTCAGCATTTATTACCCATGCCTAGTTGCCCTAGAGAAGATGGTGGTAAACTGCCTTTTTTTTTTGAGTCACTGCAGTTCTTTGGATATCTAGGTAGACTCTCAGCTCTGTTACGGAGTTCCAAGGTTTTGAACCAGTGGCACCAAAGGAACAATGATATATTTCCAAGTCAGGATGGTCAATGTTTTAGATGGGAGCTTACAGATGGTGATGTTCCCATGTATCTACTGCCTTCCTCCTCCTAGATGGTATTGATGGGGGGTTTGGAAGGTGACGTCTAAGGAGCCTCGGTGAAACTTTGCAGTACACCTTGCAGATGATGCACCCTGCTGCGGTTGTGCCACAGGCGAACTTGTGTCCCTAAGTTACTGATCTTAGCTGCTGCTCTAAGTAGCACGTCTTGCAGTATTTGTACATTTGGTAGCACTTGTGTCTGTTGATTCAGAAGGCTGTGGGCTCAAGACCCTCGAAGATAAAAATTCAAGCTGATGCTCCAGTGCAGTGTTGAGAGAGCACTTCCCTGCTGCAAATGCCTTTTTGCAAGCGAGAAGGTAAACTGACCGAGCATTTCAGGGGCTCAGATGGCTGTAAAGATCCCACTAAACCATTGTGAAGAAAATTATCTCTGATGCCCTGGCCAACAATTAACCCTCGTTCAATATTGCCTTTTTTTTAAAAAAAAGTCTCTTTACCTCAAGTATTGACTGTTGTTTCATGCATTACTTTGAATTGTAGTCAACATTGTATTTCATAGAATGTTCCAAACTATTGTAGCCTGTTGCCTGAAAGGCACTATATAAATAGTGGGCAGCATGTTGGCTCAGTGGTTAGCCCAGCTGCCTCAAGTGCCAGGTTTGATTCCACCCTCAGGCAACCATCTGTGTGGAGTTTGCACATGTTTGCATGGGCTTCCTCCTGGTGCTCTGGTTTCTTCCCCACAGTCCAAAGATGTGAATGGAGAAATGCAGGATTACAGGCATAGGGTGGGGGGGTGGTGGTGTGTGTGTCAGTGTCAGTGTCAGTGTCACTGTGGGCTCGATGGGCCAAATGGACTGCTTCCACACTAGGGATTTTATGAAATGCAAGCCTGCATTTTTTTTTTAAATGAGGCACCCTCCATGCTCTGATCTGCATATGACCTCTGCTTGTTTTGTGTTTTGTGTTCTGGTTCCTGATTATGGTGAGAATGGATTTTACAGACATCTGATAAGTCTGTGCCTATCTCTCTCTCTCTCTCATTTTACAGTTGGAGCTCAGTGATAACTCCATCTCAGAAGGACTGGAATTACTAACAGAGAAATGTCCCAACCTTGTGTACCTCAACCTCAGCAGCAATAAAATCAAAGACTACAGCACAGTTGAGCCTCTGGTAGGTGGCCATTGCTCAGACCTAGTAATATGTGCACATAATACAGCAGAAGCTCCAAACACTTGGGTTGTGTTGAAAACTAGAGGAAAAAGTCAGATATGGGCATGGGTGGAAATACTGCTCTAGCTCACAACTACAGCTTGAGCTTTCCCAGGTATTTTTATAGGATTCGGTGTAAATGATCAGTCTGACCTGCCAAGTTCAGAATGCCTTAAAATGTTGGGAATGTTGTTTGTCTGCATCAGGAACTCTGATTTTCCAAAGGATGGGAACTTTAGGTTAGGATCCACTTCCTTCCTGGGAAGGACTGGGCAGCTTGTTCTGATACTCTCCCTTGCCATTGTTGGATCTGTTGTTCCAGAATCTTTGAAATACCCACTATTTTCCCTATATTATTCATTCAGAGTAACAACTGATTTGTGTAATTTGCTGATCCATGAATAGACTTTTTGGAATCTCTCAAAGTGAACATCAATTATGCAGTGGCTGTTTTGTCTGTTTCTTACTTTCTTTTCTAGCAAGCTGTGCAGAAATTCTTTGTCCCTTATTGTGTCCTTGAAACTCCTCTTCACATTGCAGCTAGTGATGTTTTAACTGCTATTAATCACTAAGTCCTTTTGAAGGCATCTGGGTTATTTGTCTGTTAAAGTGGCAGGGAGGCTTCGTAAGTAAAAGTGCTTTGTATATTCCATTGATACGATTATCAACAGATTTCTGAATGTCCCTTCCAAGCTGCACATTTGTGACTCATGAGTTGTAAAGTGTTTTTAGGAAATTGAGGTTGTGAATGGCAAGTCTGGGTTTCAAGTAAGCCATCCTACAGGTGTGTTGGCCTCATGTCCACAAAGAATTGAAATCAAGATCCAGTTTTGACTTCTTTTTGCCAGAATATTTTAGCTAGAATTCTTTCTTTCCTCTTCAGATTCCAGTGATATCCTACATTTGACTAAATGACAAACTCTGACCTAATTTCTCAATTATTTTAAAGCGTCCTGTGTTAGTTTCTAACCTACTCCAAATTGCCTGGTTACTGCTTTAAATGACCCTTTAGGTGGGTTCAATAACAGGACTGAACAGTGTCACTAATGTCCTTATCTTGCCCTGAACTTGACTTTAGTCTTTCTAAAATTTCAGAAAAACCTGACTCATTTAAAGAGCTTGGACCTGTATAACTGTGACATCTCCAATCCCAGTGACTACAGGGAGAGCATCTTCAAGCTTCTCCCTCACATTACTTACTTGGATGGCTTTGATCGAGATGACCAAGAGGCCCCAGAGTCTGATGAAGGTAAGAGATCTATGTTTTTGAGTGGGGAAGAATCCCTTCTCCTACAGATGGACTAGCACACTCCAGCCAACCTGGTCATTCAGTTGGAATATCCTTTTCCTTTTCATCAAAAACTTTTGAAACCACTTAACTCAACTTTTGTTTCCAGGTGTTTTCTCCCAATCCTTCAAGACATGGTTCCTGCTGATTTTTATCAGCTCCTAGTTTAACTCCAATCAGTTGTTGGTACCTCCGGTAACCCAGTATGCATGTGCATCTCATTCCATAAGGACCAGAAGCTGTATTTTTGATGCTACAGTAGTGCAGGATGGTGTCTTTATTTGGAACTTTTCAATGTTTCTTGTGTAGAGGGTGAGGATGATGAAGATGAAGCTGGTGCTGCTGAAGAATATTATGATGACGAACTTGATGATGAGGAAGAGGAGGAGGAAGAGGATGGTGAGCCACCAGGGGAGGTTGGACTGTCTTATCTACTGAAAGAAGAAATTCAGGTTTGTTGTTATAGGAGGAATATGCTAGAAATCGTGCCCCACAACTCCATAAACTGGTCCAACAGTATAACTTGATTCAATCACCCAAATAGCCAAAAACGCTCACCAGACTTCTTCAATGAACTTTAATAATCTGTTTATTATAACACAAACCATTTTCCTTAAAACAAGTGTTAAACACTGGTTAATGTCTAAACTAATTTCGAATGAGAATCGCTCCCCTTAATTCCAAACATGGGCATACACTTGCACAACACAAGACAACAGTCTCAGCAGAAGAGATGGTAGGAACTGCAGATGTTGGAGAATCTGAGATAACAAAGTGTAGAGCTGGATGAACACAGCAGGCCAAGCAGCATCAGAGGAGCAAGAACGCTGACGTTTCGGGCCTAGACCCCCCCTTCAGAAATGGGGGAGGGGAAGGGGGTTCAGTAGGTAGGAGATGGATACTATCTCAGAAACCATTGGAAGATCTTCAGTTTGGATTGAAATCCAGCTGGATCTGAATTCTGAAAAGCGGTCACAGTCCAGCTTTTTGGGGATTGTTTTTAAAACAAAAATCCATTCTGGGATACAGGTGTTGCTAGCAAGGCCAGCATTCATTGATGGCTAATTGGCCAGATGGTGGTTAGGAGTCAACCGCATTGCTGTGATCTGGAGTTACATGTAGGTTAGACTGTGTGTTTTTCTTTGTTTACTACAATTACATGGTTGCCATTAGACTGTGTCTTTTTAATTCCAGATCTTCGTGAATTCAAATATGACCATCTGTGGTGGGATTTGAACCTATGTCCTTGGAATATTAATCTGGGGTTCTGGATTATAGGTCAATAACATTACCAGTACACCACCACCTCCCATTCGCTGGTGTCTTTTTGTTTTGTGTTCAGTGGGTACAGCCTTTGCTGGCTCGTCCAGCATTTTTACCTAATCCTAATTAGCCTTGAGTGGGTGAGTGAGTTGCCACTTGAGGACGAACACCATTACTACAAGACCTACATCACTGAAACAACTGATTTGGCCATATACTGCTTTACTGTTTGTGCAATATTGCCACGTTTCCTACACTTAGTGCTTTAATACTTCATTGAGGCAAATTGTTTGTTTCTTTCAGGATGATGACGATGATGATGACTATGTTCATGAAGGAGAGGAAGAAGAGGCAGATGAGCAAGGTAATATAGTTTTAAAGCCATATGGATAGAATGCAATGTGTATTCTGCATGTATAAGTGTACAATAAGAGACTATAGGATGAGTCTGTTTAGGCTATCATACCCTTTTGCCAAGGCTAACCAATTAATCCCACTAGTCTGCTCCTTCAAATTTTGTACTTCCCACCACCTTCCAAAGCAGCATGCCACTAGTTTTCTTTCAAATTGTTGCTATTGAATCTGCTTCCACCAATCTCAATTCCAAGGAGGTAAAGAAATGTTTCTTTGTGACCCCTCTGGCTCTTTCACTTACTATCTTAAATCTGTCCTCTAGCTATTGACACTTCCTCTGGTTACAGTACTCTGTACAAACATCAAATCCCCTATGGCAGTTTGAGAATTTGAACTCCAGATTTTAATAAAAGCAGGCACAGTGCCAACTACTTGCATTTTTTTTTTTGCAAATGGTACACCAGCATCTTTCAAGAACAATTTCCAAATGCTATTTGCCAGCACCACAGACCTGAATCAGAAAGGAACTGCTTAGAGAATATCAGCAAACCAGCTGAATTGCCACCTTGTGAAAAATTTGAAATTGAGTGCCATACAATGTCCTTCACAGACAGTGTTCAACACCTGTCATGTGCTCTTTAAGCACTTGGATTTAGGGTTATGTCATTCTGTTTGAGTTTTTCATGAACTTACCATCTTTTTTTCTCCGAATCAGATTAACACCAACCTGTCCAGTACAGGTTATCTGTAAAATGGCCATGAAGCTGTATAATCTTATACAAATTGAACTGCTTCACTAATGTTCTATTTGGGGTGGAAACCCGAGTGAATAGATTTGGGAGCCTAAGGTTTGCAGTGGGTATGTGGTATATGCTGGTTTTAATAATCTATATACTGAAAGCTTTTGGTTTTTGTACAGAAGATGCTGCCACTCAAGGACAGAAGCGAAAACGAGAGGCAGAAGATGAAGGCGAGGATGATGAGTAGTTCCCTTCAACTGTGACCAAACTCATGTTTCATCACGATACGACTTTGTTGCATTCTTGCTATTCTTTAGATGGTAACTGTCACAATGGGAGTTGAAGGGGGAGGGAGATGGTGGGAGGCAGGAGGAGGAAAGGACAAGAAATAGGGGAGTGTCCTGGGACGGGAAATATTTTGTACTTTTTAAAACCATTCCAGTTTTACTGGCAGTGTTCTAGATGCATTTCTGTAGCCCTTTTTCCTTTTAATAATTCCTTTCCATGAGAATCTGATTTGTACTTGAACTAAGTGCATGCAGGGATCTCTTTGAAAATTTTGAACTAGTTTATTTCCTGTGATGTTGCAGATGGGTTTTGAAGCTGGTTTAAAAAGGGGAGGGCAGGAATGGACCAGAAAAATATTCTATATTGGCTGATTTCTGTTTCTCAAATTTGTGTCCAAACTTATGTAAGCTTGTCATACTGTAATTACATTTCCATGTCAGTGGAGGCACTGCAGCCCCATTGTTGATATTATTTATAGCATGATGAGCCTGCATGGGAAACTTTCAGTAATATTTGGACATATAAATTTCCCATCAATTCCTAATGAAGGTGCACTCAGTTTTTAACCCTGTCTGAAACTACTTTTTCCCCTTGTGTACATTTACCTTAATCTTGATTCTCACGTTCTGTTGCGAGGTTTTTGTTACTGAGATGCCCTCTCTTAGGAGAACTAACAATTGTTTTCTAGAGTCGGTTGAAATTGGGTCAAGGGATGAAAAGAGGATGTTGCCAGGAATTAATCCGTCGTAATTCAAAAGCACCATAATTCTAAAGAAGCTTTTTGAGCGGAATGTGGTGAAGACTCTCCATTTGTCCTGATTCTGAGGCCAACTCAACAGATGAGTATTAGACCAAACCATTCTGTTGGTGCCTGTACAAGATCCCTCCATAAACGTTTTCCTGCTGGCTGATGTTTAAAATGTTTTGTTATTCCTTCGGGCCCCTGATTTAGTCTGAACTAGAGATGAACACATGGAGTTTTTGTTAGGGGGTAAGGGCACTAGAATCGGACAGCTGACTGTATAGATTGCAATTTGTGCTAGGATCATAACAATAAGTTCAGTGTTGAGAAATCTACTGTGTGCTACACTTTAATCTGGTGACTCAATTTAATTTGTTTTTGAAGGAATTTTTACGATCATGCCATGTTAGAGCTGGGAGCATCTCACCCTGTCTTGAGGATAGGGGGAGGACTTTAGAACATATCTTTTATACTGTGTTCCAACATTCAACTAAATTATTTTAATGGAACTGGATTTTACAATGGGCTAAGATGTTAGGTACAGCTGGGTGTAATTTGAGTGTTTTCTAATGTAGATAACTGGCACCAATGCTGGCATCTCCCTTCAACTCCCATCAGTAAAATGCATTTTAACTATAAAACCATTGCTGAGAATTCTTTCATAGATGCAGACAGTTATTCACTTGTAGGGGTGGGTTTTGTATTTGTAGATCTTGTGGTTTTTAGCAATACCTATGAATAAGCACTTTCAGAATTTGTTTTTAAGATTGATAAATTTCAGAGTTAAAATCTGATCAAGAAAAGCTGTGGCTTGGGACAAAAGCAAAATAATGTGGATACTGGAAATCTGAAATAAAAACAGAACCTGCTGAAAATACTCAGCAGATATGGCAGTGTCTGTGGACAGAGAAACTGGAGTAAGTTTCAGATCGGAGGCTTTTAAACCACAAGTGGGAATTATGTGGTCTTAAGATTTGGTACTTGAATTTTGTTCTCTCCCTACAGACGGCTCACTGGGGGAGCACTGAGGTAGGTAGTCTGGACACTCTCTACTTTTTTATGCATCACCCTAATTAGCAAATGAAGGATGTGACCTCTCTCAGCTTTCTTTCTATTTTAATCTCTGGTCTAGTTTATCTAGTGGTCCCTTTTGATGGGGAGTGCAGGTTTTATTCAGTACCTCCTCTCATGTCAATCCAGTGAACAGTTCTGTCTTTGTAACCATTTCCTTTTCCCACTCTCTCCATAAATAAATTCTGATAGTGCTTCAACTGTAACACTCCCGTTTTTAAAAAAAGACAACTTGTAAATAGTCTGTTTGGTCTGCTTTTTAAAAAAAAAAAGTCCCTTTTTTGTGTTTAAGTTGTATTTGAAATAGTTTTTTATTTTTGGGTTTAGAATATACTGTATTTGGATGAAGCCATGGTAGGATTTTTAAATTTGGAACAACGAATTTGGAGCATCGTTTTGCTTCAGCATATATCTGAACCAGAGCAGTTACACTGCAGTGGTCTGTGAATGTTTCCCAAGTTGCTTTTTTTCTAGGGATATTCCCAGGACATGCACGCTGCTATGTTAACACTTTAGTTCCCCTTTCACGCTGATATCAAAATTCTCTTCTCAATTGTAACTAACACGAACAACATAGTGTGAAACTCTTTTTAGTATGCGCAGATTTGTTCTGAATTTGATTTATCGTTCCTCCCGTTTTTCGCTCTTCCCCACCCCCAAACATAACTAGTTGACCCTATTTTAATTATTGGGGATGGAAGGGGTTATTTTAGCCATTGATAAGGCCTCCTGGGAACAGCTCTGGGTTTGTTTTGTGCTGTAAACTTAATGCCGGTTTTTATAAATTTAAAGTTGCACACAATAAAGTTCCAAAAGTTTAAACAAAAGCCTCACCTTGTCTGTTTGTGGCACCTCGCGCCTGTAAGAAAGCAGAATGTTAACGGATGCTAGAGAGAGCCTCCGTGGACCGGAACAGAAACAGGGAGTGAACACATGGTGAATGAGCTTGCGGCGCCGCTCAGCAACAAGGTTGGGCTGGGGGCGTGTGCGGACCCCGCGGTGCCGCCTGGGATTTGTAGTCCAGCTTCGCACTCAGGGCCACGTGTCCGGGAGCAGCCGAACTCCAAGTCCCGCGTCGCATTGCGCACGAGTATCATTCAAACTCCTCTCCAGGGCAACCGACTGGCAATCAGCTGTGAGCCTGGGAGCAGGATACAGCTCAACAGCAAACATGGACCACGAATGAAACCCCCCCCCCACCAAACATAAACACACCATAAGGCAAAACCTCTCCGTAATACTGCAGTCTTGAGGAAGATGAGAAAAGCCCACAACGATGTTAACTCTGTCCTTACCTTCACTTGTTTGGCTTTCTGTCTCTCAGGTAAGTCCAGGCATTTAAAAGAACTCCCCATCCAATACTTGAACTCTGTATTCCAATAGTGGGGATGGGTGTGGAGAGGAAACCTATGAGTAGACTGAAACAGTTGTCACTACCTAAATATAGACTTGATGGGGGAAGTCAGTGTAAAAGACAGAGGGCCTGCAGTTCCTGAAATCTGAATATCACCATTTCCAGTTCCACTGGGAAGGGGGAAAAAGGGCTGGATCTAGTTTTGAGGAATGGGCAGGTATCTGTGGGATCATATTTGAGAATATATTTAGATTTACAATATAGAAAGAGCAGGGGAAATGAAAAGCAAGATACTGGACTGAAAGATTGCTAATTCAACCAACTAAAAAAAGGATTGCATCCAAAGGTTCAGGTAAAAACAGTAAATCAGCACTGGGAGGTCTTCAAATCACACAATCCTTACACTGCAGAAGCAGGCCATTTGGTGCATCAAATCCACACCACCCCTCCAAATAGCATCCCATTTAGACTTGCCCTGTAACCCTACATTTCCCATGCCTAATACACCTAGCCTGCACACCGTGGGCAGTTTAGCATAGCCAATCCACCCTAACCTGCACACCTTCGGACTGTGGGAGGAAACTCATACAGACGTGGGGAGAATGTGCAAACTCTATGCAGTTGCCCAAGATGGGAATCCAACCCAGGTTTGCTGTGAGGCAGCAATGCTAAGCACTGAGGTATGGTGCTGCCCAAGGAGAAGATAAGACTACAAGTATGATATTCTTATGAGCAAGAAAAGTAAGGGTATCAAAAGCTAAAACTCCCTGCATAACAGAAGATACCAAATTTGAAATATAGCATAAAATAAGTGATAAATGTCAGGGTCAAAATACAGTACAGAATTTAGCTGAATACCAGTGCTGCAGAGAAGAACTGAAAAGAGAAAGAAGAGGGATAAAGTGAATGAGGGGAAAAATGGGTAAAATAAAAGCCAGCACTAAAGTTTTCATTTTTAATAGAAAAAAAAAGGGAGACTCAAGGGGGAATAGGCAATTTAGGGGTAGAAATGGAGATCTCCTTAAGCAGAGAACTGAGATACTAGATGAGTTACCTGGTATTTGTCTTCAGTAGAAAAGAAGATGCTGCTAATGTTGGTATTGAAGGTAGGAGCAATATTGATAGCATGAAAAAGAAACCTATAAAGTTTGTCTAGCTGCTTCTATTTTAGAGAAGCAAGTGTGGAAATTGCGAAGACCAAAATCTTCAAAGCCTCTTTGGATGTGTGACTATTGCCTAACGTTTGCAGGATTATAAACAGGGGGAGAAAAGAGTGATAAACCAGGCAGCTACAGGCCAGTCTTATCTGTTGAGACCATAATATGGGAAGAACATTGATTATTATGAGACAAAAAAAATGGATGCCTTAAATACAAATTATTCTTGATTAATTTGGTTCAGTTAGACCGTAATATGTAAGAGTAGAAGTAAGCCATTTGGCTCATTGGATCTGCTCAGCCATTTAATGAGATCACGACTGATCTGATGATCCTCAACTCCACTTTACTGCTTTTCCTTATTACCCTTAATTCCTTAATAAAAACTGAAAGAACTGTAGCTGTTGTAAATCGGAAACAAAAACAGAAATTGCTGGAAAAGCTCAGCAGGTCTGGATAGAAATCAGAGTTAATGTTTTGGGTCCCTTCCTAAGTTTTTGACATTTGATTCCTTTCCTGATTTAAAAACTTATCTATTTCAGCCTTGAGTATACTTAACAACCTAGCATTGACAGCCCTCTGTGGTAAAGAATTATACAGATTCACTATCTTCTGAGAAGAAATTCCTTAAGTGGGTGAGATAATGGCCTCTGGTCCTAGATTCTCCTACAAGGGGAAACAACCTATCTGCATTTACCCTGTGGATGTTTGATTAAATAAAAATACATTAGAATTGATGTGATGTGTTGGCATGTGATCATTACTGAAGATTCAGGACAGCATTGTAACTTTAACTGGTGAGGGATTTCATTCCCTCCCTCATTCTCCTACTGAGGTGGAGTCCTGTGTGAAGGCGCACAGGATAGCTGTACCTTCACCTTGTCGCAACCAACAAATGCAACGTGTTCTGGAGATGGTTGGGGGAATATTCCAGCACAACCTAAAGAAAGCAGTTATACCCCTCACCATGGTGCTGAATTAAAATGTTTTACTTCTAGGGTCCCCTGTGTTGCTTGGTGCTGTAAATGGGCTGACCATCTAATGGCTATAAATGGCTTGATATCAGCCAGGACTTGTGCTCCTGGTCATGATCCACCAACTCTTTCTGTTAAATAAGTAGGGACAGAATGGGCTTGACTGTAGTTCCCCGTCTCCCAGTCAAATAGCCTGCCAGAACCCAGTGTCAAAACTCACATTTGCAGTGTGCCGTCTTAGACTGCCCCAGTGGGTGACGTGTGGGCTGAGATCAAGCATGTAGGAATTAGGAGATGCAAATGAAAACTTTGTATGGGATTTTAGGTTTGAAGTAATGATTTGTGTTCTGATGTGACACTGTATAAATGCAAATCTCTCTTACCCTGATGCTAGTGTTTTCCTGCAACTGTCTAGCTGTTTCCTCCATCATGTTCGCTCCTCGTCAGCACAGCAAAGGCCCAAGTCAAGAGCTGATGTCATCCCATCCTAAGAAACATGCAGAGACTACTATGAAACACAGACCACAAAGATCGATGGTAAGTAGATTTAAACCACCTACTCATCACTCTGTCCCCACCCATGTGTGCATCTGAGACAGTCTTTGCTGAAAGTTAGTAACGAGAGAAAATCCCAAGTTCAAATTTCAATAATTCTAATTTTGGGTACAGTCAATATTTTACATTGTGAATTTCAATTACATCTAGATAAGCATTTTGGTATCTACAATACACTAAGTATTAGAACATCAGAGAGGATCTCATTATATTACAGCATATGGTACTCACCAATTTCTCCCCTCAGACACTGTCTTCTATCTGCAGACTCCAGTCTTCCCCCCTCTACCTCATCTAAATGGAGAGTGTTGTCAGGCCACTCAACTGCTTTCCCTCCAAAACTCTCAAATCCAATTAATTAATTACTCCCTTAAAATCACAAACTCTTCCTGTTCTGCCCTATCTCACTCTATTTCTGTACTCCCTCCTTTGTCTCTTCTTTACATCATTTCCAACTCCATTCGCCTCTTCTGTCCCTTCCCTTAATCACCCACCTCCACCTCTATTCCAAATTCTTCCATCATCCCATCTTTACTGTCTGGCCTTTGTCTATCTCTTCCTTCTGTTCTATCCCTCTGTTGCCATATTTCCAACTTAATGCCCAAAACAGAAATAGCTGGAGAAACTCAGCAGGTCTGTCAGCCACTGCAGAGAGAAATATAATGAAATATATATAAAGAAATATAATGCTGGCTAGTCGTCTTGACTTGGAAATATATTACCATTCATTCACTGTCACTGGGTCAAATTTTTTGGAATTTCTTCCCTGATGGCATTGCAGATCTACCTATAGCATAGGGACTGCAGCAGTTCAAGAAGGCAGCTCACCATCACCTCCTTGAGGGCAACTAGGTTTGGGAATAAATGATGGCCGGCCAGTGATGCTTATGTCCCATGAGTGAATAAATAAAAAAGGTCAGTATGGTGAGTGGCTTGGAGGGGAGCGTGCAGGTGGTGATGTTCCCATGTATCTTCTGCCCTTGTCTTTTTTGATGCAAGTGGTCATGGGTTTGGAAAGTGCTGTCTAAGGATTTTTGGTGAATTTCTACAGTGCATCTTGTAGATAGTGCACTACTGAAAGTCGGTGATGGAGGGAGTGACTGAGGTGAGATTTAGATGCCAATCAAGTGGGCTACTTCGTCCTGGTTGTATGAAACTTCCTAAATGTTTTGGAGCTGCATTCATCCAAGTGCAGTATTTCATCACACTCCTGATTTGTGCCCTGTAGATGGTGGACAGGTTTTGTGGAGTCAGGAGATGAGTTACTCACTGCAGGATTTTTTTCATTTTAAAAAAAAAAATTCATTCAAGGGATTTATTAGCTATCCCTAATTGCTGAGAGGGGATATTAGCAAATTGATCTGGGCTTGGAGGCACATGTAAGTCAGACCAGGTTAGATATATTTCCTTCCCTAAAGGGCATTGGTGAACTTTATCTCAAAAGTTAACAATAGTTACATGGTCACCATTACGCTAACCTTTTACTCCAGATTTTTATTGGATTCAAATTTCACTACATGGATAGGAAAGATATAGAGAGGTATGGGTCAAATGCAGGCAATGGGACTAGTTCAGTTTAGGAAACTGGGTCAGCATGGTCAAGTTGGGCCAAAGGATCTGTTTCCATGGTGTATGACTACCAGCATTAGTGGGATTCAAACCACCATTTTTAGAACATTTTTTGGAGTTCTTGAAACTAGTCCAATCACATTACCACTACACCACCACTCTATCCTGCTGTTATAATCAGCATTTTTATTTGGCTGCTCTAGTTCAGTTTCTGGTCAATAGTCGTGATTGTTTGATGGTAACGCCATTGAATATGTCAAGGGGTTTTGGTCGGATTCTCTCTTGTTGGAGATGGTCATTGCCTGGCATTTGTGTGGTGCAAATGTAACTTGCCACTCGTCAGCCCTAATTTGGATATTGTCCAGGTCTTGCTGCATGGTCTGGCTCAGTATGAGGAATCACTGACTATTGTGCAATCATCAATGAACATCCCCACTCTTGACCTTTATAATGGAGAGATGGTCATTTGATGAAGCAGCTGAAGATGGTTGGGCTTAGGACACTACCCTGAGGAACTCCTGCAGAGATGTCCTGGAACTGAGATAGTTGACCTCACCAAACTTAACTATCTTCCTTTGTACTACACATGACTCTAACCAGCGGAGATTCTGCCTCACTCTCATTCATTCCAGTTTTCTAGGGCTACTTAAGCTATACTCAGTCAAATGCAGCCTTGATTTCAGGGGCAATCTCTCTCCCCTTACCTCCCAGCACAAAAGGAGTGACGACCCATTCAATGTTATAATTCTTTTCATTACGTTCAGGTTTTGATAAGTAACAGATATTTCCTCTGCAGGTAATTCAGAACAAGGCTCAGCCATTTGGGAGTGAAATCAGGAAAAACACTGCTTCACATGAAGTGTTATGGAAATAGGAAACTCTGTGCCTTAAAAAATTGTCAAAGCTAGGAATCAGCTGGCAGTTTCAGGATTGAGGTTAACAGATTTTTGTAGGGCAAAGGTAGCAAAAGACATGAAACAAGGGTGGGAAGATGGAATCGAGGTGCAGATTAGCCATTTTTTGACTAATTAGCAGAATAGACCTTTAAGGCTGAATGGCATCCACCTGTTCCAAAGTTATATTAAAGAAATTGTAGAAATAGTTTTTATTTTGCATATGCTCTGTCAAATAGACCTGGCTTTCTTTATCTTTCTGGTTCGGCCAATTTGTGACTCTTGGTATCTCACTCAATATTGCATTTTAACCATGATTATTTCTCATTCTTTGTACCTCGATAAAATTCTCTCTCACACACGGTCTCTGTATGTCTCTGTTTCTAACTGATATTGACATAGAGAAGTACATTGGTATCAGAAGTGGATAATGAGGCAACAACATGCAACAAGGTGAGATGCCTCAGAGTAGTTTGATGATGAGAATGAAGACTGGATGTGTCAGTGAGATACAAGATGTCCATGGTGAGCAGGATGCATGTAAGGGAGGATGAGGAGCCTGACTGTGTAAGGGGAAGACCGGGACTAGGAGTGTGAAGGAGAAGATGGTGAGCAGTTGTTTGCAAGAGACAAGATGCACTTTGTGATGTTTCTGGGGCAGATTTTAGTTATTTTTAGACAAAGTGAAGAAGCTGGAAAATGTCCAAAGTTGAGTTGAAAAAGACACTGGCTAAGATTGTCAGCACTGGGGAAAGTTGGGATGTGAGGTAAGCAACATTTCACAGTTTGAAGGAATTACTTCCAATGGATCATATGTGAGGAATTAAGTTTTAATTAGTCATTTAAAATATTGATAGGGCAGAATATTTTCAAAACCACTCTCCCATTACTGAGTTCCTTATCATCCTTTAGAGCAAATTAAGTTTGTAAAAAGTGAAACTTCAGGTAGGTACGGCATGTAGCTGTTTAAATTATGTTGGGAAGAAGGAGGAAAAGGAAATTGCACCCTTCATAGCCTTCAACATCCCAAAGAACTGGTAATAAAGTAGGAGGAAAATTGTGTGCAAGCTAAATTACTCAGTCAGAAAATCAATAAATTGAAATGACACTGTAAAATATTCAACATAGTTACAAATAATGAAAAGGATGCTTAGATGAACAGATTTCCAAAGAACCCTGAAGGCAGCAGGACAGATTAATAGGATAGCAAATGGGGCACTTCCTTTATCAGATGTGGCACAGATTATAAGAGCAGGGAAGTTATTATTGGAGCTGTACGAAACTTTGTTTAGGCCACAGCTGGAGTACTGTACGTCGTTCTGGTCATCACACTGTAGGAAGGATGTAATTGTACCAGAGGGGGTGCAAAGGAGATTCACCAGCTGCCTGTGACAGAGCATTTCAGCGATGAAGAGAGGCTGGATGACTATTTTCTTTGGAACAGAAAAGGCTGAAATAGGACCTGATTTATCTGTATAAGATTGAGGGGCATGGACAGGATGATTAGGAAACAGCTGTTCCCCTTAGTTGAGGGGTCAATAACAAGGCATTATATTAAAGTGAGAGGCAGGGGGTTTAGAGGGGATCTGAGGAAGAACGTTTTCACCCAGGGGCTGATGGTTGGGGGGTCAGGGGTAGGTAACCCTAAAGCTGGAATGCATTGCCCGGGAGAGCAGTTAAGGTGGAAAACCTAACAATGAGCATTTGAAGTATCAGCCTTCAACACTATGGCCCTAATGCAGGAATGTGGGACTAGTGTAGGTAGTTTCATATTTTTGGTGGTAATCACTCGAGGGGCCGAAGGGGCTCTTCGGTACTGTATGATTCTAAGAGACTGCATCCGTTCATACAAAAATGCAATAAAAATTCAAAATCAATTACACAGTTAGAGTCCATGATTAATTACCAGCTAGGTATATCCAACCACCAAACAGAAACAGTAAAAGACTAGAGAGAACTTGTGAAAGGGTCAAAGAAGTGCAAGACGGCACTGAGGAATCTAACCAAGTTCCCCAAGAAGGACATGATGCATTTGGGAGCAGAATGATCCACCTGGTTTCTTGCTGAGTATCACATGATGCAAAGGTGAAAAAAGTTATAGAAAACACTGAGAATTGGCCGAAAGGTAGAAGTAAGGGTGTGGAAGTTTCATTCTAGTTAATTGTTTTTTAAAAAAATGTTAAAATGAATAAAAGAAGACATTTTAAGAGATGGAAATGGCGACCGGACGTACTTTAGAAAGCTGCAGTATCCTGGACCTCTTAAGTTGTGGTTTGGGTTGAAGCTCCATCTAGTGGGAGCTTCCACTATGATTTTTATAAGATCTGGATGTCACTGGCAAAGTCAGCAATTGTTGCTACCCCTATTTATCCTTAAACTGAGCGGCTTCCCCGGCCAATTCAGAGGGTCCGGAGTCACACATAGGCCAAACTAGATAATGACAGCAAATCTCCTCACCTACAGGAGATTAGTGAATTATGTGGGTTTTTGCAGTAAACAGTACTTGTCGTGGTCACCATT